CCAGGCTCCCATTCTCTCCTAGATAATGTTCATCATTATCATATCTTTGTGGGTCTAAACTCAGTGCTGAATTCTATTAAAAAAATCCCTGAAAGAGTCATTAAATGAACAGCACTTGACATGGTGGCAATGAAGGAGACTCCTGTTATCTTGTTATCTGAAAATACAGTATGTAAAATATAGCCTTGTTTCATTGAACCCACATCAGATACACACAGCAACACATGGTGCAAAGTGAAATTAGACACACCAAAATAACAGCTTGGAATATCTCCAAGTGCTTGAATTACAAAAGGATATTATATTTTTCTTTATAGTCATCTTTATTTTTATAGTGAATTAAGACACCAAATGTTACATGTTGTAACTTACACCACAAGCAACTTGGCCTCCTGTATAAAGGGCTCTCACTGGGATTTATATATAAAACCAGCAAACAAAGCAAAAGACCATGTTGAACTTGTTTAATTCCTGAAGCAGTAACTTGGTGTTTTCCATAATGATTTACTGTCTCCAAATACTCAAACAGGTGTCAATAGATTTCAAATTAGCTTACTTTTCCTCGAATTTTAAATGTTACCATTCACTATTTCACTGAGTGTTTCTCTTGTGGCTAACATGACACTATTTTCAGGTGGTTCAGGAGGAAATTGTGTAGAATGAAAAACACCAAGACACTGTTTAGGAAGTAGTTCAGTAGTGCCATCACATTATTTTCAGACATTCAAATACCTTTGTATTGTTCCCTTCTTTTATACATAGGAATATGTCCTTCATTTGGTGTATTTAAAGTTTTTTTATGCTTCCCCTAATGCCTCCCAAGTTGGGTCTTTCTTTTCTGTTCTATTTCGTGTTTTTTGATCTCCTTCCAAAAGTTTTATGACAGCTGCATTTAAATGGCTGCTGCAGGCAACAGAAGTCAAAGATGAAATTGAATTATGCTTCCAGACTTGGCATACAAAATCAAGAAAAATTTCATTAATCACAATTAATTAATACAGAAACACAGTGGTAGCATTATGATTATACTGTATCTGGAACTTAGCATATTTTCAGCTGACATTTACATGGTAGCGGGGGAAAAGGAAGTAAGTCTTTGCTAGCCTATCATTTCACGAAAGACAAGCTGGGTAGAAAGAAAGAAAAGGGCAAACAGGACTCAAGAAGAGATGTTTTGTATTTGTGGAGGTGGAGAGTGAAAGGCGTTGAGGGTCCTTCAACTCTTGATGAGTTCATGCAGAATAGTTTGTGTGTCACAGGTATCCTCCGCATCAATTTTTATACTATGCCTCACTTTGTAATGCCTGGTGTCACCATGGAAATGACTCGGAACGGTAGTAACATATTCCAGTAACTAATAAACACTGCCTCTTCTATATAAGATACTGCCTATCCGTGTTATTTTGTATGGACTCCTTTCCTTTGTTGCAATAAATTTATAAGTAGATTATTTGGAATGGATGTTATAATTTAACAGTATTTAAACAGCTGATAAGCCTAAGGGGCCAACTGCAACAGAAGAGGAGTGTTTCTTAAGGGGAAATATGTGAAGCAAGAGAGATGGATGAGGAAAGGAGAGAAGAAAATACATTAATAGTGAATTTGGGACCTTGTTTGGTGTCCCAGAGCAGGCATACTGGTAGTTGGGTGACAGGAGTAAGAGTCTCATAAGTTGAAGACTGGTTTGAGCTATGTAATAAGACCTATTCTCAGTATTAAACAAGAAAACAAAACGAGTAAATCCACCAGTCAGTTTTGCAATCACATCAAGTAACAGATAAGCACAGTTACTGTGAGTGGTACCCAGTTACTGTGAGTGGTACCCAGTTACTGTGAGTGCTATGTTGACCATACATCCATGGGTCAGCCTGTTGATTTCTTCTGTCCTTGTTCATGCATAGGCAGAGTGATTTGAGGTCATTTCCCTGGGCTGCCTGGGACCTACTGGGCTCTGTTCTCCTCATTTTCTTTTTGATTAGGTGGCTAAATGGTTCAAGATTTCCCCATGTCAAGGCAAGGATTCAGGAGAAAAAAACCCACCTCTGTTGTTGTCTGAATATTCTTCAAGAATCAGAAACCTGATACTGTAATATCCCATTGGTCAAAGGAAGTCAAATGATTTAGCATTAGTGAGACAGAGCTATATGTAAGGCTGGTGAATGTGTCCGTTAATCCAAGAAAGAACAAAGGGAAAGAAGTTTATCATCCTAGGAGGAGATGGGGGAAACAGATGTGCGAGTAAGGCAGGTATGACAAGAAATAGAAATAGTAACAGTGCCTTTAGGCTCTTCCTTGGCTCATGGCTAAGCACATTTTAGAAACTGATTTGGCCCTTCAAGGAGAACTGTTTCAGATGTAGAGCTTCATCTTGAACATCACTAATAATGTGCTGACATCAGAGAATACACTCTCCAAACATTTATAGGTCAGAGTTTCATGCTAGAAACAACTTTTCCCCCCTCCTATTTCAACATGGAATCTTTTTTATCTGAGCAACATAAGAGAATGTTTCTCGTCTGGAGGCCTGTGAATTTCCATTTGTCATTAATTTTGAATCATGCTGTCATTGTGACAGTTCAGCAGCCTTCCGGAGAAAACATCAGATAAGAGAGGGAGGTGTATAATGGGCTACGGTTTGAAATGTTCTGTGCATGTGTGTTATATATGGATGAGGATCCAGAATATGCTGCTTACATGACAGAGCTTGTGAAAGACAAAACATGCACTAATCAGTAAGGATGTTGAACATCAGCCTTCTGCCTGATTCTGTATCTATTTGTCTGACCTTGCATTCCATGAAGAACCTTGTTTTCTATACCTGAAAAATAAGATATTTTAGTCATATAGCAAAAACTTAGCTGAGTAACTTAAAAAGATATACTGAGATATGAAGTTTAGAATTCTGATGAAACTAATATATTCTATTTTCAGGATTTTATAAAAGCTTAGTGGCATAGGAATCTCTTGCAACAGGTCTTTGACATCTAGACTATATTGGGATCAGAACAGTGTTCCAGAACAGACAATCAGGCATCTTTTGTCTACCTTGGACTCTTCCAGTATCTACTACTTTTGGACTATAGGATGAAGGCAGGGACTGACAACTAGGGAACCCTGTCATCCAGTCACTTGTGAGAATTTGGCCCAAATTAAGGAAATGAGACTTTCATTACTGTTGATTTTCATCTTGAGCAGTGACACCCTGTGATGGAATCCTGTGAACAGACAGAGGCAAATGGCAGTACACTAAATAAATAGAGTTCTTCATTTCCTCACCTAAATCCTCAGCACTGATTTGGAGATGGTAGAACCATTTCTAAGAGTTGAGTATGTCTTCTTTGGACACAGGTATTCTTTCTTTCCAATAAATTATTTTATTTAAAACAAAAGTTATGTTATTATAAACTAAAACACACAAAATATGTTCCTTCCATCAGTTGACAATGTAATTCTGTTCTACACAACTGCTGCAGGGGGTTTATGCTTATATGCACAGGCACAGCTGTCTGAGGAGAAACCCAGCATACTGAGGATACTATCACCTCCCACAGAGAATAGTCTCTTAAAGAAGGCCTGTAACATTAGCCCAACTGTAAAAGCCACATCTCCCTCAAAGTTAGTAGACATAGAGTTGAATAACTAGAATTGAAATTCTCAGCTTTCTTGTACTCTAACATTCTTGTTTATAACATGAGAGCATTGTCTAAAGTAATGTTTAAAGTCAGCTGAAAATCTGGACAGCGAGAAGAGCAGGCGTGGAGCACCAGGAAAATTCTAGACCCTGGGTATAATGGGAAACCGTAAATGACAAAGTGACAAGAGTATAGTGGGCTCCATGTTTAAGATAGGCTGTATTCTGATGCCTAATGTGCTGAAGGTTAAGGAGCATCTGAGGCAGAAATGTTTGCTAACGTAAGACTGGAGGATGACCTTCCCAACATAGATGAAATCCATTCTGTAGAACCAAGCCTAAAACAAGACTGCGTTCTCTAAAGGGCTCTGCAGCAACCTTCACGTTACTCAAGAGTTTTCCTATTCTGAAGTTTTTACTTACCTACCACCAACCGTACTGTGAAAATATTAACTGAAAAATTCCAAAAGAAACGGTTCATGCCTTTAAATAATTATATTATGGCACATTATTTAAATTTTCTATCTTGTCATTAGTTATTGTAGTTGATCTTCTACCATTCCAAATGTATTAATTAAGATTTATCATAAGTCTGTATAGAATAAAACATTGCATCTAGGGATTGGTTCTATCCATGGTTTCAGGTATTTTCTGGGTCAGTCATGAAATACATTCCCCATGACAGAGCTAGTGTATATCTTGAGTATCAAATAGATCTTCCTTCAAACATGGAGTACTTTACAACCAACACTCCTGTCTCAAATCCCCTGCTGACTGATGTTTGAGATCAGATAAGTATGGTCCAAGAGATGGGGCAGGAATCTGTAGGAACACTGGAGCAGAGGCCAAGAATCTAACCACCTAAATTGTGCCATGGCTTTTAAGTGATTATGACTCCTGAGTTGTGGTTATAGTTAACTGGTAGAATGTTTGCCTCATAGTGAGGTAGCCCTGGGTTAGAGGCCATGTACTGCATAAAACTGGGCATAGCAGTGCACGCTTGAACCCCAGCACTAGGGTACAGGAGGCAGGAAGATCAGAAGTTCAAGGTCATCCTGAGTTACACAGGCAGCTCAAGGCCAACATGGGGGTATACACAGTCCATCGAGAGAGAGAGAGAGAGAGAGAGAGAGAGAGAGAGAGAGAGAGAGAGAGAGAGAGAGAGAGAGACTCAGTGGAAGTAACCCACACAAGGATGAATATTTCGTTAGCACATCTATAGAAGCAGAAAACATTGTCCTGGAAAGGATTTATGGCTGTCAGCCCAGAAACCTCACTGCAAATCATTTGGAAAACCATGTTTGTCAACAGAAAATTAAAATGTCTTTAATGGTAGTTACTTAAATGCCGTCTCTTGTGTTCACCACAGCCTCCTTTCCTGGGGAGAAAATTTTCAAATTTGTCATTATTATCCTCTCTTGGAAGTGGCTCAAGGCAGTTTTTAGATGAACATAAACCCAAACACAACAATCAGCTTCCAAATCGGATGCCAATGTCATGTATGGAAACAGCGCGGCAACCACAGCAGAGAGCAGAGCAGCAGGCTTGTCAGGTAGGTGTCGTGTACGGTTCTATTGTGCCCTGATATTTGCTGAGGATCATGCCACAGGCAGCCTTTTGCTTGTATTTTCTGTATAGTAAAATGCAAATTTGCAGTTTACACTTTAAACATATGGCATATAGTGATTCTTTTCTTTAAAAAGGAAGTATTATAATTTTTTATCTAGGTTGTTTACAATTCATATTGAAGGATTAAAATTGCAATGTAATGTAGAAAGTGCCTTTAGCCCTGTTTTTAATCTCTGGTACCACAGATAACAATAATAATAATGTAAACAAGTAACAAGTAAAATTCATATAGAGAAAAATAAATGATTTTTTTTCATTTACCAAAGATTGTGGCTTGATAATTGGCATGCTAGAAGTAAACAAGGCTTAGTGGTAAGGCTGTGTAAATAGAGAATTCTTGAGGTGATTCACATCTGTCTATCACAGGAAAAGAATGTATGTGAGTACTACAATTTATGTCAATCCCCATAAGCATGGTTTAAGTTTGTATCTACTTTGCCAGTTTCATTGCATGGGTTCTATTTGAACTCAAAGTTCATCAGTTCTGAGCAGAAGGTTATCCAGTGATTTTCCTAGACTGGGATCCTTTAATTGCTTGTTCTATAGACTGAACATTGTTGCTTCTTCAGTAAGACACTTTATTTCTTAGAACCCCCAGAGGCATAAGAGTCTAACAATATCTACCATGAACCAACATGGTAGGGAATAGGTACTAGTTTCTTCAGGATAAAGAGAAGTGATACTCTCCTCGTGGAAGATACCAACCCCTGGGGTTGATACTCTCGACCCTTAAGTCATCCATCAAGTAGAGAACTGATGAGCATGATTACAAGTCAAAAGTTGAGTCTTAGGTTTCCCAAGCTGGCTGCAGAGACAACTGGTCTATGCTCCCCACAAACAGCCACAGCCCACGGAATGTGTGTTTACCCAGACCTTTTCATGGTTTACTTCTGAAAATTGGTTCAACCACATGGGAATCGAGTTAGACTCATGGAATTATAATCTTTGACTGGTTAAAAAAAACCCAAATGAGTTTCCATAGGATTCAGAAATGAGAGTGAAGCTTCCAAAATGAAGGAAGGTAAGTGTTCTCATCTAAACATCTTGGAAACCTACCTTTTCAAATATGGATTCCTACCACCAAGTCCTCTGGTTTTGCTAGATATTACAGGAAAAAAAAGAAAAATAGTGAAAAGTAATTTCCATTTCTCTTGCAGCTTACTTAAAGGTAGAAGTATATTGAAACTTCCCTTGTGTAAGACCCCCTGTTAAAGCAGACCTGCTTAGAAGTGTAGATATTTTTAGCATACAGCTGATTTTATAACATACATCTGTGGCAAACTGAAATGCAGGTTAATAAATAAATTCCATCTCTGGGAATCTGCTAGCTATTATATCTGCATTTCTAAATACAAAAAGGGAAAAATTGAGACTGATGCTTTCTTTGAAAATGCATTGCTTTTCCTGCTCAAAATAAACTCTAGTAACTAACAAAAAGAAAAGACTTGCCCACAGCAGCCTGCAAACCCACTAAGCAATGGAGAACTTGCCTTTTCTAGCAGGAACACTCAGTAGCTGAAAGCAGATCATTGCCAGGAAGACGTATTTACCAATATTAAAAGGTCTTGGCCCATCATAGCTAGTGTGAGATTTGGAATATAGCTTTTGTTGCCAAGGTGACAAACACTTATAAATATAACACATCTTCTAATGTGCTTTTAACTTGGTATTTTTATGGCTTTTAAATCAGATACCATTAGCAAATATATTAGGTAATTTAGCTGAAAGACCATTTTCCTCTAACACTTTTTGTTACATTTCCCCAGGTATTTCAGTAAATGTCTGTTGTGACATCCTACTCCTGCCAGGCTTCCAACGTAACGGGATACATAAAGTACAGCTGGTAAAGATTAACATATATTACCTTGCTTTTTTGTATCGATCACTGAAAAATGTACAGAAGAGAGTTAAATTTGTAGTCTCCTTGAAGAGCAATCATTGTTCCTATTGTTATTTTGGGGTTTACACCTCCTCCCCCCCAAATAACAGTCTGGTGTGAAAATTCAATACGTGAAGAAAAGGTTTTTGGGACAGCATAATAACTATATATTAACACTTCCCCCAACCTCCACACCTAACTGCTTTCCTTTAAATATCAAAAAGAGAAGGCTAGGAAGAAAATAATTACAATAGACCATTTAAAGGACTAGTATTTCCACAAGCCTAAGTTTATTGTTCCAAACAATAAGCCCAACAGCCCAGGCAGGGAAAGAATTAGCTTAGAATGCATTCAGTGAATTCTTACAAGAAAGCTTTTGAGGTGGACATGTTTGTTATATCAAAGATAAAAATCAGGTGAAACAACTTTAACGTCTAAATTTACACTTATTGTTACTTTATCATAAGTTCTTCTTAGAAGACTGTTCATTCGTTCATTCATTTCTTTGCCTCTCATTCATTCAGCTAATAGTCATTTAAGAAGTACCAACTGGCATGGCAGATTCCAAGCTGAGTAAGTCCCAGGCCTCAAGAACAATATATTAGAAAAGATTCAGGACTATGCATGCAGTAATCAGAACCATGACTAAAGGCTGAGACAAAGACTCCATCCAAAGTTCAGAAAAGAGGACCTGAAAGAAAGACGGTCTTGGCCAACTGTCTTCAGAGACTCAAGATAAGAATAGAGAGCATATACTTCATTTAAATACTAAAACTGTAGAGAGGTCATGTTTCATATAGTAAATCTAGAATTGCTATTTCATTACTGTGTGATTTTGCATGCCTCTCTGTTGCCCTGTCTTGTAATTAATTATCCTTGCCTCCTGCACAGCTCATGAAGGACCAGTAACAGGGATGATGGGATATGGGAAGTGTAGATAATTGAATTCTTTGCGAAAGAAAGATGCCATGAAAACATCCAGCACCCTTATTATTCCAAGCAGTAGCATTTTAGATAATTACCATATAACATCGCACCTTTGCCAGTGTGTGGTTTACTTTTTTACAGACAGACAAATGCCAATGTTTATTTTCTCTAATGATTTTGGAAGTAATTTTTATCCTACATACAAAACATAATCATCTTTAGATTGTATTTGGGGAGATTTTGTTATTTACCAAGGTCTTAGGCAATTTCACCACAATTATGAAGAGCGGTACCTAACAAGTGTCACTCTGTCACAAGTATCTAGGGCATGGTTCTGTAGACAGGGCAACAACTTCTGCAAAACAAACAGCACTTGGGGTGTATGTGTGTGTGTGTGGGGGGGGGTGTGGTGTATTTCTTAATGTGTGTGTGTGTTTCTGAATGTGTGTGTGTTTCTGAATGTGTGTGTTTACATGTGTACATGTGTCTCTGTGTGTGTTTATGTGTGTATGTTTCTGTGTGTGTGTGTGCATGTGGTTCTCTCTGTGTATGTATTTATGTGTGTATTTGTATCTCTCTCTCTGTGTGTGTGTGTGTGTGTGTGTGTGTGTGTGTGTGTGTGTGTTTATGTGTGTGTCATGGAGCCTGGGGCCTGCCAACAAGAACTGGGAACGAGCTGAGACTGGCCAGCATACCTGAGGCAGCTGTTACACTGTGGCGCCTGGATTCTTCTCAGACTCCTGGCTGGCTCCCCTGCTCCTCCTCCTCCTTTTCAGAGTCTCTAACTCTAACCCTCACTGTCTTTCTTCCTCCTCCTGATGCCTTGGTGATTCCCATGGCCTGAGACTCTGGCCTAGCTCTGCTGCCAGACATTCCAGGGCTGTCTGGCTGAGGAAAAGAACCCACACTAGTCTGGTCAGGACGTGAAGTCAGAGAGAAAAACGACCCTCAGCACTCTTATCTGTTTCATCTTTCCTTTCTCCCATTCATTACTTCTTATTCTGAGTTTTCTTGCTGGAGATTAGCCATTCATTGTCATGGCAACCAGGGAAAGTGACAGTTTGAGGAAGATTGGCTCTTAGGTCCTGAAACTTGCCTCTCAGGCTTTGTCAACAAGACATTGTCTATCAACTTGACCTGGGATTTGCCTGGCATTCCCTAATAAAGAGCAGCCTGTTGAAGGAGCTCGTGAGAATCCCTGCTTTCCTTGTGTAGACAGGGCTTCTTACAGGGCTCCTTCAGGAGATGCTTAAACTAGAACGGGTCACACAACATTCAACTCTGAGGATTTAAGACAAGAAGGAAACTTTTATCTTTTTTTTTCCAGTTTAATCAGGCCTCTTATGATTTAAGGTAATTTCTCAAAGGCCATCACTAGGATTGGATAGAATTAATATAGTCAACCAGGATGAAATAAAAAAATACGTTAGTACCAAACAAGCATGAGAAAAATCAAAGGCCCCAGATACTGGAGGCCCCAGTACCCTTGACAAGGTAGAAAGTATGCATCCCCAGTGAAAAAGAGCAGTGCTATTTTTCCCAAGAGGCAGTCTCTGGTTACGTTTCTTAGACTCAGGCCCACTGACAGAAGAGAGCAATTACTTATGGTCATATTTTTTTTAATTTGACAAAGATCCCAATCATGGTGGATTAGGTACATTTAATATCTCAATTAATAAGCCTTCTACAATAGTAGCATGTCAGCTTTGATTCAAAAAAGCCACTTCAGTTGATAGTCATCCAGGAAACATCTTTCATGCCTCCATATTAAATTTAATCTGCCCCCTGCTTTATAAGACTTTGTATTCCTGTGCTGGAGAAAAGATGCTTATTTTATCATTCCAACTTAACAGCTTGCTTAGCAAAGTTGATGGGTAGGAGTTTAGGAGATATCTAGTGAATACCTACTTTGTATATTTACAAAAGAAGTAGCTGTAAGAGAGATACCCAGCAGCATTTTTTTTTCTGGTCCCACTGTTATCCCCCTGGTTTTCCATTCATTCAGCAGATTTATCTGTCATGAAGAATTTAAGTTTCATATTTTCTTCTGTCAGTTGTGAAAAGGCCTGTCAGCTGGGGCTTACACTGTCGTTTGCCAAAAGGCCTATAGCACACAATGACAATACAATCTTATATTTGTGCTTCCAGTCTCCAGATAATCCTCTACCTTCTTCCTCAGCAGCCCAGTTATGATCAGGCTTGAGTTTCATATTCTGCTTTTAGCCAGATTTTGCTGATAAATGCTATCAGCAACACTAAAATGAAATACATCAAGCCTAGCTCTTATTACCAATGTAGAATATGGCTTGACCATTCTGTGCACGACATGGCAATATTATTTCGGCACAATTCTTTGATTCACAGGTACAAACTCGAAACAAAAAAATAAAGGGGTGTTAATGGTGTGCCCTTGATCTGTATTTGCTCAATGCTCTGAGATCCTTTTATTCATATACATGGAAATACAGATCTCTTCTTCACATACCTTATATTAGCATTCTATGGATATGTGCCTGAGAAACCAAGTTGGAGTATCTCTGGTAAGGATGTAATTTTAAGAAAAAAATGTAGTCTTGCCATTATTTATCAATATCCTCACGTGTAAGACACTTCTTTCCTGACATTAGCAAGTAATCTAAAATGATTTACATTCCCCCCTCCACATGCAGCAGCTTCCACTTTCCCTTAAATGGAGATTGTGAACACCTAGGAGACTACACACCATTCTTTTTATAACACACTGGGTTTGCAGCTATGCTAGAAAGATGCACCATTGCCTCAGCCAAGGAGAGGAAGGGGTTAGCGTCGCTCCCGGAACTTGGGAGTGGAACAAAAGCTGGCAGCCTGACACCAAAATAACATCCCAGTGAAAAGCAAAATTGCTTCTAAGGCGAAATTGCCTCATTTGAAAATTGTAGTGATACTGAGAACAATTATGTCACTTAAACTTTCACAATTTTGTTTTTATCAATCAATTATAAGGCTATCATGCAGTTTAAATGCAATTATTTAATAAGGGCATTTGTAACAGTCCAAGATAATCAGTTACACTTCGGGCAAGCTCTTCTCCAAGGCTGTGTTTTTGTTAGTGTCTAAGACTTTCTTGTAGTAATAAATACTTTTTGAAAAAGCCAAATAAAATTGTTTTTCAGAAAGGTTCCTTCCCCATTCCATAGTAAATCATTTTCCCCTGTTTCGAATTGAATTTCAGAATCCACTCCTCCCACCCATCCACTCCCACCCTACCCCACCCCACCCACTCACCCCCACCCACTTCCCCCTTAGAAACTGTGCATACAACTAAAAACAGATTAAGAGGGGCACACATTGCTAACTGGCAGAGCAGTGAAGACAGGTTCTTCAGGAGCTGTGGTAATGCTGAGTGTATTTTGAGCCAAAGACAGCCATGAACTCCAGGGAGTAGTTGGTCGAATGACTTGCATTACCAAGGGAACTACTAAATGATGGTACCACAGACTGCAGACAATGACTTGGATTTTCTAAGATAGAGAATTGTTTATGGGCTGCATCTGAGGTTGCTTGTATGTGGAGACCACATAATTTTAGCTGCTCAATGGGTTTTCCATTTTGTGGACTGCTTGGTCCATTTAGACAGCTGAAGAAATACGTTTTCTGAAGACGGAGTTTCTTTTCAGCCCGGTCCCGCAGGCCTTTAGTCCCAAATAAACACACAGAGGCTTATATTAATTATAAACTGTTTAACCAAAGACTCAGGCTTCTTATTGGCTAGCTCTCTCAATTGTTATCCCATTTCTATTAAACTATGTATTGCCACAAGGCTGTGGCTTACCTGTAATGCTCTGGCATGTTACTCCTTCGGTGTCTGCAAGGCATCTTCTTGGTGACTCTCTGCATTTCTCCTTCCAACATTCTCCTAGTCTGGTAGTCCTGCCTATACTTCCTGGCTGTCTACATCCTGCCTGTCCATTAGCCAAAATAGCTTTATTCATCAACCAATAAGAGAAATACATATTCACAGACTACAGAAGGACAACCCCCATCAGTTTCCCCTGCAA